TATGAACGTGCTCATAGCGGATCTTGAGTTTGTGTACAAGGGGTCGTATCTTGGAGTCTTGTAGACCGTCAGTACCTGCACGTAGGGAGGCTACAAAGGCTTTAGGACAGCGTCTTTGACGTGCTTCACCGTACCAAACTCACCTTCTTACCTATTATTTATTTTCCTTTTATTTCCCTATTATTTTGTTTTCTTCAATTTCATTATACCTTCAAAGCTTTTCAATTTGTTTATATGTTATTTATAATATAAATATTTTGTATTTGGCTTTACGGAAAGAGGGAAACTATTATTTTTCACAACATCATGTGCAAGACATCATAAATGTGGAATTCTGATATCCTCTTACTAGGTTACTTAACATTACTTTTTTTTTGTTTCGCTCGTCAAAGAAATTTTTTACAGATGCCTTTGTTTTCATTATTAGATCATGTCTATTAGAGCCACTTCCGCCAGGACAGTAAACTGTTATTGGAAGTGTTTTTAATACACTGAGAAAGATGTGATGCTTTGGTAGGGAGCTTGGAAATTTAGAAAGCTGAACAATTCTTCAAGAAACTTAAGAACTATATTGATGGCTTAAAATAAATCTGTTGGCCGCTGCACTATACAAACACAGTTTCTTTCTTAGTCTTGCAACCCTATGCACTTGCCTCCCTCAGCATTATCTACAAACCAGACATCATCAAGCAGAAGATTAGTAGAAAACTCTAGACAGATCATTCCCTATTCCGGCAGGTAGAATAGCAACTGGAGGAGGAGACACAAAGTTTTGCTTTTCTATGGTGCGGCACCTTTCAGAGTGTAGGAATCGAATCAAAACCGAAATCCTAAGATTGATTTTTGGGTTTCTTGAGGGCAAATTTGTATTCGAATATCTATACTTTTTAAATATTAAAATAAATTTTAAAGAGTATCTAAATATATACTGGGATCCTTTTTTAAAAAACCAAGTTTTTTTCCTAATTTTCTTTTATTGATAAGAGTAGTTTAGAGTATTATCCATTATTATTTGGCCATTATCCGAGTCTCTATTGTCTCCTTTTGATTTTTAACTAGCATTTTCCCGTTTAACACTTGTATTATACATATAAGGTCGTACTTTTTTAATAATACTTTCGTTTTGCATACACGTCTTAAAGACTTAGTACAATACACGTATGTACATATTTTTCATGTTTAATACATGTGTTTTTCTACAAAATTTTCAATAATACATACAAAATTCAAGTATTATACACATAAAAATATTATATGGTGGCCGAACTTTTCAGTTCCAGAAGGTTAAGTGAGAAAATTTCCATTTTTGGGTGTAAAGTGAGAAATTAAGACTCTTTGTATAGCCGCATGGCTATATTCTTTTAAAAAATTTAAAAATAAAAAATAAAAATCTTCCGAATAGGTGCTATTAGGCGGTTCCTATTTTTCATATTTAATTTTTTAAAATAAATAGTACAGCCACGCGGCTATACCAAGGTATTGCCAAAAAATAGATATACATAGTATAGCCGCACGGCTATAGCCCTTAATTTCTATTTATGTATGGCCGAGCGGCTAGACTTGTGATGTGAGAAACTGTAAAATAATAAAATTTTCTTAGTTAAATATGTTTTGTGAAGACTTATATATTATTAAATCTTAAGCCTAGTATAAGATTATCCCTTTAGTTGAAAGATGACATCATTTTTGTTTTCCACGTGTAGAGACTTAGAATTGATTTTAATCAAATCATCATTATCATGCCACCTTGCATGCTTGTAACAAGTGATGTTGTGATATAATTGGCTAAAGGTGGATGACTCACATTATTTCCTTATCTTTCTATCTTATCTTTTGGTGGTGGTGTTGTGATATCATTGGTCAGTGGGGGATGAGTCATATTATTCCCTTGCTTCTATCTTATCTTTTGGTGGTTTAAAATATTGTATATATAAATATTATTTGGGTGCATCCATAGCCTCTCCTATAAGTATCATGCTTGCTTACTTCAATCATTCATTTCAATCTTTTATGGTAGATTTCTACCATGAAGTAGTGTTAGAGATAGAGAGAGAGAAAAGGAAGAAAAAGAAACCAGATGAAGAGTGTGTGTGTTTGTCTTGCAATATTTCATACTTACCATGGTGAGTGGGTTATGTAATATATTTTAAAAGTTCTTATTTTGTGATAAATGTGAAAATCTATTTACAAACTTATCTCTATTTTCAAGTCAAGCATGTCTAATTTGTGCAATATTTCACACAATATATATTATTTGGAGTTTTTGTGAAGTATGTATTATTCATGGAACATGAAAACTTCAATGATGAGGTATCCAAATGATAAATGTACCAGACCGGTACATAGGGTAGTGAGGCCGATAGGGGTCACGTACTGGGTACAAATTGTGAAAGATAACCAAGATATGAAGTAATGATATGATATGATTTGGATTGTGTATCTTTTTATTATATTTTTGTAGAGAGTGTGAAATGACACTGTTTGACAGGCATATTACATAATCTACTCACTAAGCGGTGATTTGCTCATCCCTCACCTATTTTGTTTTTCAAATCAATTAGTGAGCAAGACAAAGCCGAAACCAGAAAAGTTGGATTAGTTTAGAGTGATAAACTTTTATTTATATCTTGTACACTTGTAAGATTATTATAATTTTTTTTTTATATATAAATATAATGGTAACGTATTGTAACCAATTTTTCAGTCTTTTTATTTATTTATTTTAATTCACGCACCCTGATTCGGGAATATTCTTTATTCTCGGATCGGGTAGTGACATGTAAAATTTATATTTATAGCTTGTAGTTGTGCGGCTCTATTGTTTAAATTTCTATTTATAGAGTCTAGCCTTACGGCTATAGTTTTAAAATTTCTATTTATAGTATCGCCGCGCAGCTATACCGGTAATATATTGTATATAGAGTACAGCCAAGCTGCTATACTTTTATAATTTCTATTTATGGGTTCTAGCCATGCAGCTATCCTTTAAAATATTCTATTTTTTACCAAAGAAACAATAATTAAAGTAATTCAAAAAGACTAAGACATTACTTAATTACGTATATTAAATAACAAAAGCTGCCTAAGAAAAAAGTAAAGAAACTAATTTTATACTTTTAACGAGTATAGCCGTGCGGATAAACTTTTAAAATATTTAGAGCGTACAGCTGCGCAGCTACACTATTAAAATATTGTATTCAACAGGTATAGTTGGGCGGCTATATCGTTATAATTTCTATTTATGGAGTATAGCCTTGTTAACTTAAACCCAGCTGCCACAAGATGTTCTTGTTCACATATTCAGTTTCCTCGATATGCAATCTTTAGTCTATGTTGGACTAGTCTGCTGGTGATTTCTCTTCCCTTCAATAATGTTGTGAGGAAACTGCTTTGTGAGAAAAGAATCCTACGCAAAAATTCCTAAAAATACACATTAGAATTTTAAACATTAATATTTAAAAGGCTATACTATTTAAATTACAGTTTCTGAGAGTGAATCCAGACAGGACTCTTCTTGTTTGATTCCAGTTACCGCCGATGTGTTAGTGAGCAGAATTTTACAGCCCGCGTATTGAACTGCAAAATGGCATATGCCACATGAAAGTTTCTTTTTTCCTTAGGCTTTCCTTTGTGTAATGTATGTATTCGAATGATTATTTAACTGAATTATATTTTTTCTGCCAGGTTGTTGACTCACTCAGGCAAGGTTAACATGCAAGCGTATTCGTTCATCCTCGAAAGGACACAGCAACAACAGCTCAGAAATTGGTATATGTTTATATTGCATATTCTTTTGTATGATACGTTTCATTTGGATTGATACGTCTTCTTTCGTATGATACGCTTCCATTATAGCCGCCAGGCTAGACTCTGTAAATAGAAATTATAAACGTACAGCCGCACGGCTATACTTTCTAACTACATTCAATGGTAAACATTACTAATAGGAACAACTCAATTCCCATTCTGAATTTCTCATTCCAATTCCTTTTCATTCTGATTCCAAGTAGGTAAATATGTCATCCATTTTTAGTCATGGAAATTCATGTATTCTGCAGGTTCTTGACCGCGGTGAGAAGATTGAGCTGTTAGTGGACAAAACTGATAATCTTCGCTCGCAGGTTAGTCGAAGAAGCATAACTTATGTTTAGTTTATTAGGTTTGGGTGATGGAGAGTGATATGGTTTTCTCTCCAAGTTTTTATATTTATTTTAAAAATCATCTTTTAATTTCCTTTCCTCTTTTGTGCTGTTGATATGGCGTTTATATGTTGAAAACAATGGTGTGTTTGTGTTGTAGGCCCAAGATTTCAGGACACAGGGAACAAAAATGAAAAGGAAGATGTGGTTTCAGAATATGAAGATAAAATTGATTGTTGTGGGGATCATCATTCTCATAGGCTTTGTGATATTTTTGTCATGCGGCATTGGTAAATTGCTCTCTCTTTGAGTTGCTTACCTTGTTAGGTTATGCCCGCCCTGTTTTGCCAGCCATTTTAGGATGGGGGGTGGGGGAAGGTTTTGTATGTTTTTTTCCGCACTGGTTGTTGTATAGTTTATATATTTGTCCTTGTCTTGTCTAGGGTAGATAAAATCAATCACTATCATATATGTGCTCCATGTAATGTAATGGATCCTTAATTAGCTTAAGATGTAATGGAGGAATGCTTGGATGATTGTAAATCAGCATGCCCTTTCGGAATGCTATTAAAATCTATTCCCTTATTTGCTTGCTTCTCGAATATGTTTAAAACTATTGTGGTATTTATAACTAGGAGTTTAAAGTCTGCTTTGTTTTAGAAAAATAAATCCATAAAATTCACGGGGCTACACAATTTTTGGTGCTCAAAATCTCATGGATTTTTAAAGACTTCATTAAGCGGTAGACTTTGCTTTGGAGTGTGAATTATAAACTTCAAAGTAAAGAAAAGTCATAGAGCTCTCCAGCTTTCTTCTCTCAATTTTACATGCCTTCAATTACTTATCATAGAGATTATAAACGTACAGCCGCACGGCTATACTATGTAACTACATTCGAATATTTTAAAAGTACAGCCGATCGGCTATACGCTTTAAAATACACGAAGCTTGCACTCGCAGGGGACGGAATTTTCTCTCGCAGTCACTGCTTCGTCCTTCGGGTTCGGCACCGAAAAAAGACCCAACCGCCTAGGCGCCCGCCTAGCTACTACCTAGCCGCCTAGCCGCCTAGCCACCGCCTAGCCACCTCCTAGGGCCCGCCTAGCCACCGCCTAGCCGCCTAGCCGCCTAGCCACTGCCTAGCGCCAGCCTCCCGCCTAGGCTGACTTTTCAAACACTGCGATTGAGTGAAAGTCTGAAACCCGAAATTGAAAAAATTTAGCTGCAAATTTGAGCTTGAGATTGGGAAGCCGAGGCAGTGATGAAGCACAAATCAGGTCTATAGAAGAACAGATCATGAGACTCTTAATTCATCTAATTCCATTCCTCTCCCTGTTTGTCGCCTTATATTCTTCTCTCTTCGCACTGACGACATGGCGCAGAAGAAAAAAAATACAACATTTGCTGAGTTGGTGTCTGTCTTCTGTGGAAGGAAATGATGAAGTTGTCCTATCATGGAGTTTCTGTGGTCTTGCCAATGACAAGGTTCTGTGAATGGCATGCGTTAGGCTTCTTGAATTCAAATTGACTCTGAAATTTAAACATTTCTGTGAATGGCATGCGTTTAGCTTCTCTTGCTATGCTTATTCTTTAATATGCAAATGGCATTTATGCTTGTACCTCACTGCCTGTGTTTTAGGTGGAGAATGTTAGTACAATTTTTGTTTGCCGCATTCCTCGTAATAGTGATTCACTATTTCAGAGCAGTCGAAATCCGTCTTTCGCCCTTCAGCTATCATTGTGTTGCTACTCATAACTGTATTAACTATATGAGTCATGACTTGCTGTTTAGTTAATTGGTTATTCTTCCTTAACATATGCAGGTTTTTCTGTTGAAATGAGACCGAACATATAGTGGAATAAATACAAATTTCATGTCCAAAAAAATGTCAGGAAGCAAAGTGTTGCTAACGTATAAGCGAAAGCGGCAATCAAGAACAGATCATGTACAGGGACATGAGTGCCGTAATTCACTTTTTGTTGCTCCTGATGATACTTCTTTAAGCAAACCACCAGACAGTCTACGGTCTGGTGATTGATAAGCATTCATCAGAAAATTACAACAGAAATTCTGCGGTGAGATTTTAGAAAGTTGGAGCCTGTTCACTTTTTGTAGTTTGTTTCATAGGGATATATGTTGTATGTCAATCATCCTTATGTAGATAATTTAATAATCCATCCTTCCCTATTTTTCCTCTAATAATTTTGTTCTTGAAAAAAAATACTGGAAAGAATAAGGTTTTAAGGGATTACCAGATACCACCAGAATGTGCCCTATTCAACAAATGGCATTTCTGCTTGTACCTCGCATTCCTCGTAATAGTGATTCACTATTTCAGAGTAGTCGAAAACCGTCTTAGTTGTCTTAGACCTATAATTTATTTTTAAGGTCATTGCTATATTCTGTCTCACCTGCCTCTTTTTCTTGCAGGTATTCCATGTTGTTTTGTGTGCTGTGTTGGGGGTAACCTGAAGCACTGTGGAAAATGCCTTCAGTCGTATCATCTCCAATGCCTAGATAAGCCCCATAAGGAAAAGAAACACATTGAAGTGTCTGGCACAAGACAAATACCAATTAAAACCTTTCCGACAAGTCTTGATGAGGTTCCGTCCCGAAGAGATTCATATGGGAATAAGTCTAGTGGCAAGAAAGCAGGCTTATCTTCAAATGCTAATGCTGGAGCATTGGTCGATGATATTAGTGTTGGAGGGAGGTTACCTTGTCAATTGGTGATGAATTCCGCTGTAATTACTGCTAAATTTGTAAAACAAAAATCATCATCAGCAGCAGCAGCATTTGAAAGAAAAAGCAGCTCTGAATGTGATGGTAGCTCGCCAAGATTGAATACATTAAACTTAGAAGACACTGATTCATTCTCTAGAAATAAGTTAGATAAATTAGGTGGTGATTCAGCTTGCGTGAAACAAGTTGACCACCCCATTGATTACTTTCTGCCGAAGGAATAAAAGAAAAAAGGATATGGATGAGTCTAATATACAAAGGAAATCACTGCCCGTGGAAAATAGCTGCTCATTGGTAACCAAATTGAATAATTCTGTTTGTACTAATACCAGTTCTTATGAAGAAACTTCCCCTGAAAACTGCTCAGTAGATCATGAAGCAGATTTGAAGCCCTCCAGAGAGGTATGTATGAAGCCTATCTTTTGTCAATTTGGAAATAATGTATCTGCCTATGAGCACAAACACAATAATGTGAAATGAGAAATAGAAAATAAGATGCGACATGGAAAATACATTCTCATTTACATGTATTCTATAATAATATATGTATAAAAACAAGGTCTGAATAAAAGGTGCATCACTGTTGGTGCTTAGTTGCCCTCGAGTGGCTGACTGACTCCACCATTATGTGCATTCTTAACCTGATACTTCATTTCTGTATATGTAATTTGTAATCACCAATCTAATTTCTTTGCTACGGATCATTGATTTTACATATGCTCGTGCTGGATCTGCAGCCGCTGGAACTAAAATTTAGGTTTACACTAACTTCAGAACTTATTGGTTTCTTATATTTTAATTGCTTACTTCATTCATCGGGACAGTTTGATGCATGAAGAAGAACAACTTCATGATGAGGAAAAGACAGGCAGTGACGCCTTACAACAGGCTGGAGAAGTACTTGGCCAGAGTGCTCAAAGTGCAATGGATGTTGAAGTGATGCAGGACGCATAGGACCTAAATTTATTAGTTTCCTAATATATTTGTTAGTTTCCTAGATTCTCTAGTTTTCCAAATTCTAGTAGGATTTCTACTTTTCCAGATTTCCAGATTTCTAGTTTTAAGTTTCCTATTTTATTTGGGTTATGATTTCCGTTTAAGCAAGGGATTTTTATCCTATTATGTCTAGGTTTTAGTTTGCTATAAATACCCCCATGTAGTTCTTTAAAATTCAGATTTGGATATTGAGTAAACCTTCTCTTAAAACTATGTGATTTCTGTCCTTTCTTTCATCCCTTCGATCTATATTTTCGTCTCCCCAACCTCCAATATTCTTCTTGTTCTACTGTTCTACTGTTCTACCCTTTCTTTCGTCTTTTCGATCTATATTTTCGTCTCCTCGATCTCTTATACTCTTCTATGTTCTATTGTTTGGATGCTTAATCTAATACCTACGGGCTGTACTACATCATGAAGTTCTTTGCACGGATCATTTAAGAAAAAGTAGTGATACTAGAGACTCCTCTTCTGAAGCTGCAACTCTATGTAAACCAGGAAAAACCCATGCATTGATAAGAGATGAAGCTCAAGTTTTATCAAGTGCTGATCTTAAAGCAACAGAAACCCCTCATTTAGGCAGATCACTTCCTTATTTGGACTTGTCTGTTATCCCCACTGGTAGGACTTCATTAATTTCTAGGGATGTATTTGAACCAGTAACATTATCAATTCACATTGTGTTTAACTTACAATACTTTATCTAAAAGAATTCTTACTAGCAGATTCACGTGGCACTGTGGAATGCAATGTTGACTTAAACTTGAGTTCTCAGAAGCAACCTGACCTGGCTGTGCCAAAAACTATGTGGGACTCCTTGGATTCTACTAGCAGAAATAATGCCACTGTATTGCATGAACCGTCTCCTCCAGAAATGTCAGCTGCGAGAATTGAAGGAGTAGAAACTCATGCTTCACGGTTACACAAAGATGCATTTGAATTTTTAGAAGTTGGTGACAGCTGCAAAGATGATGATAAAGTTAGTCCTCTATTTTCCAAGGAAATTACACCAAAATACCAGTGTCTGCAGGTGAGATTTGTAAGTCTTGTTGTTTGAAGTTTTGGGGATGATTTGGCTGTCAACTAATCTTATTTTACTTTTCATGTTTGGAATTGATTCCAGCTATTTTCAGAAGAAAAAACCAGTGACATTTTTCTCCCAGTGACAACACAGCCTGTGGCAGCAGCTTCTATAGCTTCAGAACAAAGAAGAAATTCTTCAGTTGGGAGGCAAAAATAATCAACCAGAACAAGAATCTCTTCTGTTACTAGGTCCATCCTTATCAGAAAACCCTTTAACTGCAGGATGCGCAACCAATACTTGCTTCAGTGCATTTCCCTTCTTGAACTCTGTCATTGAAACCAGAGAATTTATCCGAGATGCAGCACTCCAATCTTCCTCGAGCCATTTATCGTCAGTATTGAGACACAAGCTTATGCATGATAGTATTGCAAGCCGAGCAAAGAGCTTTCAATGAAAGTGAGTAGTTTTCATGACAAATATAAGCCATATAGTACCATGTGGTCTGAAGAGGAGTTGGATTTTCTTTGAATAGGTGTGAGGAGACATGGAAGGGACAATTGGGATGCTATGTTACGGATCCAAGATTGCACTTCTCATCATGGAGGGTGGAAGGGACTTAGCTGAGTGGTGGGAAGAGGAACAGTCAAAAATTTTGAGTGGCATGTGTTCCTCAATTCAAGTACTCGATAGCACAAGGCAGTTCACTTGATAGCACAAGGCAGTTCTTTGGACTACCACTACTTCTTGGGTCCAAAAACAGGAATCTGGAAAGAAAATACA